AGTTGATGACGGATATTTCGAAAACTAAGCGAGATAGTGAAAAAAGGTTTATAATCAATCATATTGATAAGTTTATCAGCTTTAATTTTGTATAGAACGTCTTTGTCGATGCGATAGGTAATTTTCCTGATGTAAGCGAAAACCCGAAAAAAGTTACCAATTTGGCGCCCACCACATCTGGCTCACCACCTAGGAGTGGGGACTTTTAGTATGTTTACCTCCTTAGTAGTCCAAACTATGTCCCAAAGTCAAAAATTCGTGGTTGATTCTATCTATCAATCTTGTTTTTGGAATTCCATGTGGTATTTATTGAGGTATTTACTGATGTGTAGAGGCTTCATGATGTCTTACAGAGCTAGGATGTTTCAACCATCTATACTTCCTTGCCTTTATATCATGACGTATAAATTGATCAGTTTTTGAAAAACGGTTCTTTATTGGTCATTCTCCTCCACACGTTAGTACTCTGATATCAGATAACTCAGGTTATCGTGCGGAGGTATCATCAGGTTTTTATTAACATTAATTTACATAAATATTACCTTACCTTACGTAATATACATTTATAATTATTATATATTTCCCACCCTACCATTTTGATTTCATAGCCACTCCTTCGTATTTCTGAGATACAAGGAACTAATATAGTTGTATATGCAATATTTCTCAATATTTCATTTTTAATAATTACTATGCTTTTTTTTGTATTATTCTGTTTATAAAATAAAACTATTTGAATAAATTAATCATTAAATTCTGTGGGCAGCTTTCCTTATTCCTTAAGCATATTAGTTTCCTTAAGGAGTCGCCAGGTTTACAGTTAAGTTTAAAAAAATATATGGTTATGCATGACGCGGTTATTTATACATAGGAGACCTTAAAACGTGTATTTACGTTGAAAAGTATAATTCGAAATTTACACGATCACAATACTATCACGTATAGTTTTTTTTGTTCTCCCCTTTCTTGCCTTTAAGGCTACACGGTATTTTGCCCGGTTCGGGGGAGAGAGGTAAAATTCCCACCCGATACCGGGATTTGAATTCAATAATATTTTTCCATCTTACTTCAGTTATCAAGTTTGAGGGCAATGCTAATCTCTTATGATATAAATATTTTTTATTCACGAGAGTTGTTTGTTATATAATTATAATAAATTAGGAGGTACCCTCCACCAATCATCGTTTTACAAATTATACAACTGTTCATTTATTGTATTGCTCGTTGCTCAAATTGTATAAAACATGGTTATATTTTACTATTTTGGGGGGGGGGGAGTGCTTCAGCCCGAATATTCCCCTCTTCCCGTAGATCCGTCTGTGTTGCTTCCCTACCTTCGGTGGCAGGAAGGAAAACCACATGCCATAAAAGTTGTACTAACCTTGTGTTTGATTGATTTACTGAAAGTCATAATTTGTAAACAATTTTTCAAAAAGGTCCATTTAATCAAAAACACATTGCCAATGATGCCGATCTTTCCTTAATCAATTTTTAAAAAAATTACATACCAATGTTTTTTCTTTAAAATTATTAAAATTCAAAGTAATAATTATGCAAGTATGATTAAAAAAAAACATGATATAATAAATTCACTTGACAAATTAAAACAGGTTTGATATAGTATCAGGAAAACAGACGTAAAAGTGCAATCGATTTTTTGAATTAATATAAAATGCAGGCGCTTGAACATCGTAAAATAACAAAAAAATAAATTGATACATACATACTTATGATTTATGTATCACGAATATCATTTTTTTGTTATTGTTTTTTTTTTTCAACACATTCTTAATATCAAGCTGTTTATTGCAAGTTTATTTATCGTGGTGAGGACAATTGCACTGCTACTGTATTACATAACTGGTGATGTGGTTTAAATAGCCTATAATTAATTAATTAATTAATGTTGTCTATAATTAATAGAAGGCTCAATCAGACAGAAGGTAATCTGTTGAGGAGATCAGCGATGTTTGCTGAGACGCATTTAATGCATTTTTCTCAACATTTTCCCCATTCGATTTTCAACTGTTTGGCCTAATATTTCAGCAGCTTTTAAATGAGATTTTGAAAAATTTTCTTTACCCCTCGCTTGTTGTTATTGCGTTTTATATCCAAGTACCTCAAACTTATGGTACCCGGAGATGCACAATTGCTACCCTCAGCACCGAGCACCAAATATTTTATTAATATAATAAATAAATATTAAATGAAGTAGTAATTAAATTGTTTGGTACTCAACAAATGTGAGCACTTGAGTAAAATACTTGGTACTCAGTACTCAGATTAGCATTCGCCCATCTTTAATGGTACCTGGTTGATTAATATTTAATATTAATGTATATATTTGCTGGCTTTTAATATCAGTGAAATGGTTGAGGAAGAAGCGCAGGGATCTCCTGAAACCTTGCTTTCCCTCCACATGTGGCGGGATAAGTATGGTTCGGAGTTTAATGGCCGTCTGTAAATAGTATAAATAGGTATGCCTGCATCTAAGATGTTTATTTTCATTACATTTTTTTTTAAAGATAATTTTAATTCTATTTTATTCATTTATTCTCATTCTATTATTACTATTATTTATATTTTCTTTCTTCACTATGATATTTTATTTTGTTCTTTTATAGGTTTATATTATTTGAAATTAGCTTTTTTTTTTTTTAATTTGTAAATATGGTGTGAATGTCCTTTATTGAGACAGATTGTAATATTTATCAATAAACAAATAATCTATTAATATATACTCAATGTATATATCCAACCAAAATTAAATCTCCAGCTCGTCAAATTCACCAAATATAGTACAATAGCTGCAGATTATAAAGAAAAATTCTACGAAATAATCATCACATTACCTGAACATCTTCTAATATTCACCGACGGATCTAAATGAGATACATCTATTGCATTAGCCTTTGTTACCACTGATACCTACCTACAAATATAAATTACACCATCTTTGTTTACACAGTAGAGATTAACGCCGTAGCAATGAGTCTCCGATAAGTCATGAAGATGCGAGTTGCATATGTGGTTGTGATATCGGATTCCCTAAGTACTCTGAAAGCCATGAATAACATGTATCCAGACCATCCAGAGATAGACTGCATTTTAAATCTTATAAAAATGTTTCATGGAGTTGGAACAACGGCACATTTTATCTGATCGCCTGGCCATAAGCGTTAAAGGAAACGAAATGGCTGATAGAGCAGCAAAAGAAGCTCTTACTCTTCCAGGACGCGGTAAAGCTTTTTTGACACCATCTGAACTTGCACGACCTCTAAGAGAAGCCATATCCCAAGAATGGCAAAGACGTTGGGACAACAGCGCATCTAGAAAATTAAAGACAATAAAGAAAGAGGAGCAACCGTGGACCAGCTCCAGACACAGCAGTCGTAGAGAAGAGGTCGTCCTCACGCGGATGAGTATCGGACATACTAGACTGACACACTTCTTGCTTATAACAAAAGATCTTATCCTGAGATGTCAAAAGTGTGACCAGTCGTTAACTATAAAGTATGTTTTACACCGCAAGGTTAAAAGATCTCGGAATACCACAGAATATATCAGCATCCCTGAGAAATCAAGAAGAAATCATTACCAAAGTTATCAAATTCCTAGATAATGAAAGACTTAAAAAAGAGATATGACAAGTTTATAACTAATGATCCTTTGCAGATTTATTATTATTATTTCCATTCTTTATTCTCGCTTTGCGGAGTAAGTTTCTGAGGTAGGAGACCAGAAGTCCAGCCACCTTCATATTAATATCTATTATTTTTTTAGACATTTAAAAATTTTCGGACAATACGTGCTGTGTCTAAGAGAACTGAGTGTTGAGCCTCTTTCAGCACTTCAAGAGGTAATTTTAATCCCATCGTGCCTGCCACTGTTGTCTTTGATATCAATCCATTGGAGGATATTATAATTGGAGTGGTGGTGATGTTCCCCAAATGATATAATTCTCCGTTTTTCTCCAACAGTGGAGCTTACATTATTATCATTGGGGATCCCGACATCAATAAGCTCTGCTCTTTTCTCTCTCATATCTATCAGAAGGATATATGATTTATTGTGAGGCACAGTATAGTCAGTTATAATCGATTCATCCCAGTAGAGCTTGAGACTACCTTTTTGGAGGAGTTTATTTGGGTGGTACTTATAATATGGAGTTTTGTCATCTAACAAGTTGAACTTCACCGCCAGAGCCTGATGAAAAATTCTAGCCACATTGTTATGCCTCTGGAGATACTCGGTGCCAGCCAACACTCCACACCCACCTGTGACATGTTGGATTGATTCCAGCGTCGCTGAGCATAATCGACATTTATCCGTAGTTCTTGCGTCTTTTAGAACATGCCTTCTATATGATCTGGTAGCAATAACTTGGTCTTGGATGGCGAGTAGAAATCCTTCTGTCTCGGAGAATATCTTTTCAGCTTTCAGCTATTCAGTGGATATTTCCTTGTCAATCGAGCTATCATTCAATTTGCTGTATAATCTTCCATGCAGAGATTTGTTTTCCCATTCTGTCAATCGTTCATTTTCTGACACGATTGTATAAACCTCACGGTTGCTCTCAGGTTAATTGCGGTTAGACCATAATCCATTATTATTATTTTTTTATTTGTTTTTTTTATTTATTATTATTTTTTTTTAAGTTAGATTCAGATTAAGATTAAGATTAAGTTAGATAGTTTTTTTTAAAGTTCATTTGTTTATTAATTTCAATTCATTTGTTGATTTTATTGCTATTTTTTTTAAATTTATTTATTTATCTAGTCTATCTTATTACCTATAAGTGTCTATTATTTTATTTATTTTATTCTATTAATCCTTTTATTTATTTATTTTTTGTACCAACCATCCATACTGTTTGGTACAAAAGCTGTATAATTTAGTTGATCGGGCGCGGATGACCTGGATGTTTTACGCTTAAACATCGAAACAAACAAATAATTGTATCGATTCAATATATATTTTTAATATAATAAATGACTTACGAAAACGTATATGGTCCCATCTCCGTGAAAGACGGTTTTTCGTCGTGCAGATCTTGAGGATTCGACCAATTAAATAAGTAAAAGCTCATCTCTTGAGGAACTGGCGTGTCTCTCCACAGCTTGAAGGATTCTGAGTCTTCTTTTAACTTTAATTGCTGTGTAAAGAAACAATATAAATTAATAATATATAATGTAGTTTAGTAATAATAATACTTTATTATGTAACTAATGAAAGTAATGCTTTGGATTGGACAGAATATATTAAGACATACAACTAACGGATCCAGGATTTAATTTTGACTGGGTCTTCAGCCCAAAAGCTTTTTTTTTTATATATAGGGTGTTTCGTAATCGCACGGCATTATTTTAGGTATGTGTTCACTAACACGAAATAAACAAAACGTTCATACTAACCTATATCTCAAACTCATTTATTAAGATATCAAGGTAAAATATTTATTATTTATTTACTACATTAAGACTGGCTGTACAAAGTTTAACGTGTTTAATACTAAATAACAGGTTTTAATCACCTGATAAACAAATGCAATGATAGTAGTTGCTCATCTGTTTGTCTAGTTCCGTTTGTTTTAGTGTGAGTGAATATTGTGACACAGTTCAATTTATGATTATCATGGCGACACCATAAATTTATTTACTTTTTCAGGACAAACAGACATGCTTTTAACTTATGACGAGGTACATAGAAACGGTGCTGTTGCTGTTCGAAGATATCGTAACAAATTTCCTAACCGAAGAATACCAAATCGTAAAACATTTGAGGCCATTGAAAGAGGCCTTAGGGATAATGGCTTAAACATCATAAAACACAAGTAATAATAATTGCATAATGCATAAGTAATAATGTTAAACGAAGTAATAACATTTACAATATATACAATTATAATTATATATAAATTACCACAGGTTCAGATTTCGGAGTGAGGGTGGGGATCGCCCTCCGCCAATAAAAATTGAGCGTGGACGAGAATATCGTCCCCCAATATTTCAAAGGAGAATAATAAAAACAAAATCAATAAGAATTAATCTACATTAATGAACAACATATAAAAAACTAAAATCAATTACATAAATAGGAAAAACAACTAGATAGCTACAAGAGTCTAAGCTAAGGCCTAGAATTAGATACCTTAGTATTTTACCACGTCCTATGTCCATATTAATGAAATTTTAGTTTATATTAAAAATAAAATTATATATAGCAACATATCCGAAAAGTTTATGATTCATTAATTTGCTGCCTATCATTTTTTACGTTTTTTTTTTACGTTATGATTTTTGAATCAACTAGTGTTCGCCCAGTGCACAGTGTAACGTTCAATGGACAAAAATCTGAATTTTTATTTTGTTATATTTAATTTTTAATCTTCTGGTTATGTTGAGAAACTATTCAAGAAATCAGAATCGTACAAAAACAATAAATATTATTTTTATTTTGATCAACAAATACATTAGCTGTATTGCAAACGAGGCAAAGTCTTCAAAATCTGTTTCATACCAACAATCAGTTTAAACCTCCCTCGTTGAAGATAGAACAGTGTTTTGATTAAGTAACCCGAAGGAAATAACGTCAAAACTATTCCTTTTTTATCTGATATAGTTTATTATGGATAAGTACTCTCTTATCTATCCTGTAGTATTCTTCACTGATCATTGACATTTTTTGTAAGATCGCAATTTTGATGGGCCATAGCCAAAAAACTTCCAAAAACTTCTTCACAGGTTTTATAGAGCATGACGTTTACCTCAAGCATAATGTACTGAGGGCAATCGAATTTGCCGAAATTAGCCGATTTCAATTATTTTTTATTTTCAGAGCCATCACATAATACAAATTTTTTTTCTTACAAATTTGGAAAAATGTGGATTAATCCAAGAAAACGGAATCAATCTTTGAGCAAATACTGAGTCAATTTGATCAGCACGATGCTCCTAAAGAAATATTGAGCAATATTAGAAAGACTGCCAGTTTATTCTCATTTAAAATGTCAAAAATGTGGGAGCGTGTTCACCGCACAGAAAAAACATTCTTAAACTTATATAAAGACTGGCTGGAACAAGATATCAATTTAGAAGAAATTGTTATCAATTATTATCAAGAAAAGGGCAATTCATGTCCTGATGGTCCTTCCGGCTTACTTGGAGGCAGACCTAAGAAAGAGTTTGCAGCGTCGTGTGAGAAAGATATGACAATGCTTGTTCTGACATCTGACGCAAAGCTTGCTTTATGGAGGAAAAATGTAAAAAGCAAAAAAAAAATATGTCCAGACATTAATGAATATATAATAGAAATTATATATTCTTATATAGTAAAGATTATTACAATAATCAAATAGACATTGGCTTCGATATAGACTTAAATTCCAACGAATCCACAAACGATTCAGACTCTAAATAAAGAAATTATTTAATAATTACGTAGAAAATGATAAAATATTATTATTCTATGTCAATATTACTATAAATATAATTTACTACTATACTATTACTACATTATATGTTACAGTTCTATTACATTTTATATTATATTTTATAATATTGTTATTCCTGATATTATTACCTCCTATATTATTTCTATTAATATTGCAAATATTACAATTAATATTATTATAGTCGTATAGTATGTACTATTATACTATTGTTACTTTGTTTTGAGTTGAAATCAATTAATAAAAATGTTTATTTGAAAATAACTAGTGGTTAATGATTTTTGTCCATTATTTCAATTACTTGGTTACACTGTGCAGCGGTAGAAATTCGACCATGCCATTAAAAATTTGAAAAAAAAAATTTTAAACATATAATTTTTTTCTTTTGTCTATAAAATTTGTATTTGCGTCTGTCAACTTATTGTTGACAATCAGCAAATGTGATGGCGATACATGATATAATGACATGATAGGCATATGGAAGAAAAGTACTCAGTAGTATCTCTTCCCTAACTTGTTCCAATTACTTGTTGTCTAAGGAAGAAGATCTCTCATCCAACGCCTTTTTATTCTCCTCCTCATGTTCTCAGGTATGTCAGCTGTGGCCATGTCTCTTATTAGTCTGTTATTATGTCCATTTAAATTTGTGTAAAATCGTTGATAAAGGGTCATTATATGTTAGTAAACTGTTGGAAGGTGGAGGTCAGTATGTAGAGTTTTGTTAGTCACGTACCAAGGAGCTTTTGTTATGTGTCGCAATAATTTTGATTGGAAGGTTTGAAGTTTTTGTAGGTGGGTCTTTTTAGCGATGCCATATATTTGTGATGAGTACGTCCATATGGGCTTAAGTAAGTATGTATATGTATTCAGTTTCTGTTTTAGTTTTAGTTTTGAAGATTTAGAAAAAAGAGAGTAAAGTAGTTTGTTAAGTGTCTTACGTTTCATTTTAACATGCGGACGCCATGTCATCCTTCTGTCGAAGGTGAGTCCAAGATAAAGTACCGTGTCCGTTTGAGGAATTTGATTGTTGTCAATATAAACTGGAGGGCAGGTGTTTTTTCGAAGAGTAAATGTTGTATGTTTGGATTTGTCATGATTAAGTTGAATTTTCCATAGTGTGAACCAATCTTGTAATTTAAGTAAGTGATGTTGTAGTGTTAGTGAGTTCTGTGTAGTGTCTCAATGTTTTGTGAGAATCGTTGTGAATACTGCATAAGTAGCTGTCAAGATCTCATCGTTAATAGGTATATCGTAAGTATTTATAACGTAAAGTAAAAGGGCTAGAATATAACATATAATTAAATAAAAAATAAATTCAATAAATAAAGAGTAAATTACGATTCAAAAATCCTCATTTATTAATATAAACAAAACTTCAATTTCAATTAAAAATCGAGCTTAAACTACTTAAAATTATTTATAAGTAATAAAAAATAGACTCGTTCAAAAATGTTTAATATCCATTATAATTTATATGAATTATTATCACAATACATTAATGTTATGATCAAGCAAGTAAAAAATAAATTTAAATTACCATTTTCAATTCAGTTTAAATCCATTTTTATTCAGAACTATAAACAATGTTCTTTTTGAATGTTCCGTTATTGTTTAGCACATAGCCTTGCCCATTGCTATTGAAAATTTAAATTTCAAAATTTTAAACGAACGTGCTCTACTTGCTGCCACATATAATTGTCCATACGAAATTACTGGATGCCGCAATAATATACACATTTTTTCCATAACTTTAACCCTACGATTAGTGTATGGTCATAGCAAATGCATATATTAATAAGAACATTATTCTTTGAAAGTCGAATGTAAGTATAGTGTCAGAAAATATTAAATTAATACTTGGAGTTAAAATTCTTTTATTTAAAGTAGCTCCCGTTAGTACTCCACTCTCATTAATTTCCCATTAACTAATGCTTGTGCAGTATTTAGGTTAAGAATGAGTATAACTACAGAATTTATTTTTAAATTTATGAAGTAAAATTCCAATAACTTCAATGATATCATCTCTTCAAATAATAGTCTCGATCACGGGCGGATCTACGGGGAGGGGAGCTTTCGGGCTGAAGCCCCCCTCCCCAAAATGGTAAAATATAACCACGTTTTATCGAAAAAAATATAAAAAAAGTATCTCTTAAAGTATTATTGTTCGTGTGATTAATATTAAAAGTGATTTAGGAATCACTTAAACACCATTTCATACAGGTTGTTAGTTTCTTTCTTTTTTTCTAAAGTAATTATCATTATTTTTATGAAAAAAAAGCTTTCGGGCTGAAGTCCCCCCGCCCCAAAATTAAATCCTGGATCCGCCTAGTGGTCTCGACCACTTCATTAAATATAAAGTTTTATTGGCGCTACAGTCTAAAGCGAATCACTTTTTCGGCGGCCATTTCGAAAGGAAAGGTCTGATGATAATGAAACGTATACAAAAACACTTCTAAATATCATTGCGACGTTTTGTAAAAATTTCAATGAAATCGGTGAAGAACTTCCGAAGATTAGCCGTTTTGAACAAACTTCCATTTATATTATTTACATACTATTTCATATTTTTATTTATTTATAAAACTAAAGCTCAACAATAACTATTAAACAAAAAAAGAATGGAGAAAATCGGTTGAATAATAAAGGAGGAAAAGAGCCTGAACCGTTTTGTATTTGCCTATTTATATAATGATTTCTCGTGAAAAATTTGAAACATAGGAGAATTGAGAGTTCATATCACTGCATCAAGCAATTAAATGAAAATTAAAATATTTCATATATTAGATTGCTATTTTAAAAATGTTTTCAAATATACTCATACATAAAAAAGAACTAATATATACACATATATGTAAATATATTATTATATTGTTCGTTTTTCAATAGTTAAGCTGATTATGTTAATTATCACTCATAATTTTTATACAAATTACAAGCTCCCGAGACTTTTTTAGGAGGGGGGTCCGGTGCAACCCCAACTAAAATGAAAAGCCTACGTACTCTGTCAAACCAAGCTCTGAATGATCTTCATATGTATCATACTCTAAGTTACTAGTCCGTGGTACTTTGCTACCAATTTCTGTATTTTATTTTTATTATTATTATTTTATTTTTATTTTTTTAATTTGAATTCAAGTTACATTTCTTTAGTTTTATAGTTTTTACCTTTGTTATTTAGATATATATTTTTATTTATTTATTTTTATTTTTTTTTTTTTTTTTATTGCATTGTATATATAGTATGAATGGGCCTCACTCAGCTTTAGTACTCAGTGCCCTTAAATGTGACAAAATGTATTATTTTTCAATAAAAAGATTTAAAGTAAAAAAAAAGTCCGTGGTACAGACCCAAATGATTAACATCCGGCTGAAACTTCGTAAATAACTTCATCTCATCGTAACCTACAAATATTTTATTTACGAAAATTCTTGAAATTGGGGCGCTTTTCAATCTGAGACAAACTTTGTCTATTTAATTACGAACTAGAAACTCGTAAGTACCCATTTGCTTTCCATTGTAATCGTAAGATAACTTGAGCACAAAGTCGAGAAAAAAGGTAGCATTCAAAAATATTGAGCCGTTTGGCTTATATAATGTCTTTATTTTGATAATTTGGGGGTGTAGGTCACAATATTTTCAATATTTTTGGAGGCCATCTTTTTCCTCGACTTAGTGCTTTAGTTATCTTACGATTAAAGTGGAAAGCAAATGGCTACTTAAGAATTTTTAGTACGCAATTAATTAGACAAAGTTTGCTGACCTCTAAGTTGAAAACGCCCCGATTCCAAAAATGTTCGCAAATAAAATATTTGTAGGTTACGATGAGATGATGCTATTTACGAAGTTTCAGCCAGATGTTAATAATTTGATAAAAAGGAGTCTGTACCACGGACTATCATTATATAAATAGGCAAACACAAATCTGTTCAGCCTCTTTTACTCCTCTGTTATTCAACCGATTTTCTTCCTTTTTTTTTGTTAATAGATATTGACGAGCTTTAGTGTTATCAATAAATAAAAATATTAAATAGTATGTAAACAAAAGTATAAATATTGTGACGTCCAGTAATTTCGCATGAACAATTATATGTGGCAGCAATTAGAGCACGTTCATTTAAAATATAGAACATTCAAAAAGAACATTATTTACATAGAAATTGCCAATTTAAATTTATTTTTTACTTGCTTAATCATAACATTAATTTATTTTGATAATAACACACATAAATTAAAATTAAAATTAAATATTTTTGAATGAGTCTATTTTGTATTACTTATAAATAATTTTAAATGATTTAAGCTCGATTTTTAATTGAAATTGAAATTTAGTTTGTATTAATATATAAAGATTTTTGAATCGTAATTTACTCTTTATTTATTTAATTTATTTTTTATATAATTATATCTTTTCCTCAAATTTTTAATAGCTATGGTCGAATTTCGACCACTAGGCGAACACTAGTACTGTTAAATAGCCAGATATTAATTCCTGCTCAAAGTGGAGTGGTTAGTGAAAGTTGTGTAATGGGCGCACCATGTTTTTTTATTTTCTAAATTATATGATTACCTCATAAACGTTATGTTTGACTAAAGATGACCAGGTGACAATTAAGATATATCCTAAGGTAAGAAAGGCAGCTCCCCCACCACCCAACAGGTACACCTTCAACGGGGTCATGTTTGGATGCACCATCCTAAAAAAAATATAAATAAATAAAATTAAATACATATTATCACTTTATAACATCTTCAGTAAATAAAAAATATTTTTAAAAATAAAACATAATATAATAGAAAATAAACTTTATTCTGGGACGAGGTCCCTTAAGAATAACAATTATACATAACGGCTCTAGGCAAATATATTTCGTCCCTTGTATCGGTGCATGACGACATCCGAAATAATTAATTAAAGTCTTCCTTCTTAAAAAAATGATAAATGTTCGATTTGTAACTCCATCGAGGACCCATCGCACATTATTCTTAAGTGTAGCATACATGATAAATACCGGAAGAAATACCCTCTCATCTAAAACAATATCCCTTTCCTTCAAAGGCTGACTGAGCTAGATAGGGATACCATTAAGTCATTGTACAAATTCATTGAAGAATCAAAAATTTTTAAAAATAAATAATAATAATGTGAATCCAACTTCACCAAGAAAATATTGGACAAAAAATATGGGAAAATAAAAGTGATCAAAAAGTTTAAATACCTAGGGGAGATAATATGTAGTAACGGCATCAATCGAAGGAAGAAAAACCAAACTGGAAAGACTGAACTTCGCCGCCAGGAATGTTTACAATAAGAAAAACTTGTCCTCAAATGCAAAAATAAGGCATTACTGTACAGTAGCAAGACCTGTAATATTATATAGTATGGAAACAGTCAGCCTTCCGAGCCTAGAGAAAATCCTGAAGATTGAGAGGAAGATTCTGAGGAGGATTCACGGACCCAAGGTAACGCATGAGCGATACAGGCTAAAATCCAATAAAGAAATATACAGAAATTAAGAAGATTTGAAAACAGTCGTCAGGACCAGAAGACTGAGGTTCTACGGGCACATGGTCAGGATGAATAGTGAAAGGCTGAACAAGAAAATTGTTGACAAAGTTTGCAACTATAAAAGAATGGGGAGATATGTAAAACAAATAAAAGAGGAAATAAACAGGCTAAAAATCACGGATAAAGATTGCTTGGATAGAAAGCTTTTTAGGAAAAAACTGAAAGGGGTTGGGGTTCTTGAAGGTGGGAGGAAGGGACGAAGGAGAAAATGGACTAAGGAAGAGCGAGAGGAACAGTCCAGGAGGATGAGAGAGTATTGGAGTAAGAGGAAGGCTGAGAGAGTGAAGAGAAAACGGAAATGATATTCGAGTGGTTCTTGCAGGCCGGTTCGTAGAAAAAAATAATGTACATCCATATCTCCATTCTATTTTAATATAACAACAGGTGCAGTATAGGACTTCTTGGGAATCTTGGACAGACGAAAAAAACAAAAACAACAAAAAACATCTGAAGGTGCGGTAGGAACCCAACTACTACACTAAGTTTAAATATTATTAACATTCATTTTCATATGATCATATTATATCATTTCAAATCGATTAATAATCGAGATATTTAAACTATAAAATCATATATTTTTTTATTATTTTGAGATACGTACCTGTTAGCAGATTGATTAAACACACTTTACATAGTAATTTGATAGAATTTTCAGCTAAATTTTTTTCAAAACGCACACAAAATCTCACAGAATTTGAGCAACTTGAGCCATAAAACTTAAATATCGATCCATCCGTTCGCTCGAAACAGTATATAATGCATTATACCTTTCCCACCCCCAACACTTTTGTTTTCGTTTACTTATTTTTGAAGAACCGGTAATTGCTTTAATATTTATGAGTTTTTTGTTCTTCTTTTTATATTTAAAATGTCATTTGCTTTCTGTGCAACGTTGCGTATCAAGGATTTTAAACAAAAAATACATTAAACTTTTATGAAACCGTTTATTACTATTATTATTTTTTTTTGTTAAAAATAATATACATTTGAAGGTCGTAAATAGAGTAGTGGGGATGCGTTTTGTAGGAATGTCAGATACGTATACTGAATTTTTATTATTACGTAGATACTCATTTGTAGATTTGGGAAATTTGTTCTTTATCAGAAAATTTTTGTATTTATTTTTGCGTGGTCTTATTTTTTTTTCAGTTATTTATTTATTATATTTTATCTGCTTTAGTACATTTTTGTACTGTTCACTCATCTGATACTGTATAATTTATTTTATTTAATTATCTATATTTTATTTTCTCTTTTCTAATATATTTTAAGTACCATTCCTTTTAAGCATCTTTAGCATTACTTCTACGAATTAATCGCGAACATATTTTGTAATAAGCTATTTTTTTTTTACTTCCCTGCCTATACTAGGTAAGGAAAGTACTGCAATCGGGTCAAATTTCCGATATACGGTTTTTGACGTGTCTGTACGTTTCAGAGCTCCATGAGTTCGAAAAACACATTTTTAGCCATTGGTCTGTCTGCCTGTCAACATTTTCTCGGGAACTAGGGAACCGATTTTGTTGATTCTTTTTTTATTTGGTAGGGTTTTGACTACTGATGCCTGTAACACAAGTGAAACACATCTTATTTAGATGTTTTTTTGAACTATTAATGAAGTTACAGCTATTTAATTTCCAATGTAAGATTACGGGTTCATATCTTGGTGTCAGAAAAAAGATAATTAAATGAAAGCAAGAGAATCTGTTGCCAGCATCATACAAGCTTCACTATTTTCTCTACTTTTAACAGAAATTATTGTTAGACAAAAGTAAGCTATGGCAAAAAATTTTTCATCATCAATATTAGAGGGTTTTGGAATTTTCACACTGATCTACCTTAAGCCAGTTTACATTGCTTTAGTTTATCAAACAAATCGTACTCAAATCTTTTATTTGACCGATTTTCAGGAAAATAAATTTAATTCAATTTTTTTGTTTGTTAATAGACATATGTAATGATATGAAATCTTTTCTGAAATAGGTAGGAAAGTGGTGTGAATGGACACACTAAATTTTTTAAATTTAAAATAACAATATAATGCCTAAAATATTCTTATGTTTATGTATACACATTGATAAGAAAATATATATTTCTATTTCCCACTACATTTCAGCATTTTCTAGGCAGAATAACACTATAAAGGATTTATAAAATTTCATTAAAATTTAGGTATATTCAAACTATTTCATCGCGTATTTCTATGATTATAAAATATTGAACTCTTTGTAAATGGTTGAAATTTTGTATATGAATTATGTTTATTTTGGAGAAGTTTCTTTGGGGTGAAGGTCTTATCACCATACGCCATTTTAAAATCAAATAATTGCCGACAAATCTGTTACCGTTTATACTGTAGTACCAAAACAGCTGTTTTCTATTAAAATTGCCTAAATCCGTCGAATAGCTCGAAAAGCGTGCATTTTTTTGCTGATAAACTATGTGTTTATTTTTTAAACAATGGTATTTCATACATAATAAAAATGAATCATCTGACCATTTGTTGTTTCAAGCGTTTTCAATTTTGCACACATGTTCTTTTGGAAATTCCATTATATTTTTTTTTTTTGATTGATCAAAACCATAAATCTAGCGAAAGAAACATCGCTCAACTAAAAGAAACATATGAAATAATTATTAATTATAAAACGATCAAATCTTCTCGAAAAATGTTGTCCACTATGCGGTTAGAAAATTCGTGAATGAGGATACGCTGTACATATTTGATTTATAACTATTTCAAAATAATAGACCATTGTATAATAATTTGAAATTATAATCAATTTTCTCTGACATTTAATGAACGATTTTAATCCATTTTCACATTTTTAAATATTTTGGTATAAATATCTTTTTATTTTTAAAATAATGAAATTTTCTAAAAACATCAAAAAAATCATTTAAATCCGACCAATTTTAGCAGAGATATGGCGTTTCAAAATTGGTAGCGCTTGGTCGTATTTATTGTTGCCAAAAATCAGTCTTGGTCTTGCACTTTGCAAGATCAAGACCAAGGTCGCCTAACTTTTGCAAGACCAAAACCAGGACTAGCAAAAAAAAAATAGATTTTTAAAATAAAAATTAAGGCAAAATAGTTACTAACACTTGACAAGCTTAGTTACTATTCGTTAATAATTGGTATAACTAATATACTTTTGCATTTAACTCCTGTAATTTTTCAGTCGGGCTTAGTAAGTTTTCTCCTATCTAAAAAATTACAGTAATATCTTTTTAGTAATAAGCTAATAAGTAACTGCAAGACTGTTGCGAGACTCTTGCCCAAGACCAAGACCATGACCAAGACTGAGTTTGCAAGACCAAGACTCGTCTCGGTCTCACATTTGGGCAACATTAGTCTTATTTGATATTTTTTTTTTTTCTCTGATAATTCGAAACTGTAAATCTACTTATCGATTTCTGATGGTCGTATACAAATTGGTCTAATTTTCTATCTAAAAAAAATGTAATATTCAAAAAACATCGAACCAATTTTAGCAACAATTTTTTCATGTCGTTTGTGGAGATACACCAGACATATTTGATTTATGAACTGTTTAAAAAAATAAACTATTATGTAATAATTTTCAACGTTTTGAAATTCTAATAAATTTTTTTAGGTAAGTATTAAGGAAAAAATCCCTTTTCATTTTTTTTTTCTAACGAAAACAAAAAGAAGACAATATGATTTCAGTAACTGAGAGCTCTTCTTCTCACGCTTTTATTTATTTTTATTTTATCTATGCTTTTATTTTTTTTAATCTCTTAAACTTTTATATAAAAACCTCTTGATCGTTTAATTTCCCGCTTTTTTAAAACAAAATGTCAGGTGATAACGTGTATGTATTCACTAAATTTTTGTATAAATGTTTCCTTATATAATAATGTTACATAAAAAAAATTAATAAATCATAAAAAAATAAATAAATAAAATTTTGATAATCTGATTAAATAGGCACTTGAACATTTCTTCACATGGTCTCATGAATCTTTTTAGGTTATCACGTGTAATAAATCATAACAGTTCATATTTTTTAGCTCACAATATTCATTACCTCTTTCTTATTCAAAAAAGCATGATCTTAGTTAAGTAATCATAAATACTTTTTTTTAGAACAATTTAATGTAACT